GTTTCAGACTTTAATCCAGATGCTCGTAACCATCGGTGAGTATTAACTTTATCAACATTGGGTTTATTTGCACGTTCTGGATATTGGCCATGCAGAGGTTTGTCTTGCCAGCGTTGTTTCATCTGTTCAAGGGCTTTATCCTTGGCTTTCTTTTTCATATCTTTTGCTGCAATAGTTGGTTCTTGGCTTCTGTTTTGATTTACTACAGAATCTACTAAATGTAAATGTTGTTTGTATTTACTGCCTTCTTTTTTATTATTGAATATTTTTCTTTCTGTTTTCATGTTGTTTCACTAATTTTATCATCCAGTCATTTGTTGTTTCCATGTAAGTTAGTAAGCCAATAGTTGTTGTCTTGTATGACAATTCTAGCTGAATAAGACCTCTTCCACCTTCTTTACGGGGTATGTATAGACGGTTTGATGATGCATCTTATACTTAGAAAGAAGCTTTCTTGTTTTAGAATCCATTTGTCTGATGTCATTTAGAGTCCAGTTCAAGATGTTGAAACTATATTGGACCACTGGGATGGCAAGGTTATTAATGGCCATAATTCTGTTCTGAGAATTCAATTCAGTTTTTAATACCAGTCGTACCCTTCTATAGTACTCTTTACGCACTATTTCTTTCATTTTCTTATGGTGAATTCCTTCACTCTCATTTACACCTAGGTACTTATAAGCTTCTCCTTGTTCTAAATCTTTTATTGTTACAGCAGGGTCTAAACTAATAGAGGAAGTTTGTTGTAGCGATCCTCGTAAAACTGTAGCTTTAGCACATTTATCCAAATTGAATTTCATTCCAATGTCTTCACTGAAGCATTTTACAGTTTGCAGAAGACCTTCCAGCTCATTGTCATTCCTAGCATACAATTTTAAGTCATCCATGTAAAATAGATGGTTTATTTTCTTTTGAGCTATTTTTGTAACCGCATTCTGTCTTGTTAAGTTGGCTGGTTAATGCTATAAGTGATATGCAAAATAATAAAGGAGACAAAGAGTCACTTTGAAATATTCCTCTATTGATGTTTATTTCGCCAGACTTATAGGTTCCATTTTTATGATTGAGGTAAAGTGTAGTTTTCCATATCGACATACATTGTTTGATGAAATTGATGATAACGGGTGATACCTTGTACATACTTAAAGACTTTAAGATCCAGGAATGTGGTACACTATCGAATGCTTTACGATAATCTATCCAGGCAATACTAAGATTTTTTTTTTCCACGGAAGCAGTTTTCCAGGATCATCCTATTAATAAGTAATTGGTCTTTACATCCGTAGCAGCCTCGTTTGCACCCTTTTTGTTCAAGTGGTAGTATGTCATTTCTTTCCAAGAAGAAATATGTCTGTTTTGTTAAAATAGATGTTAACAGTTTGTATGTTGTTGGAAGACATGTAATTGGTCTATAGTTTTTCGGAATATTTGTGTCACTATTTTTGGGTAGAAGAAAGGTAACTCCTTTGGTCATCCATGCAGGAATTTTAGTTGGATCGGTAACCATTTCTTGAAGTTCTTTGGCGAGTTTTTGTGTGCTGTATTTAAATAATATAGCCAGAAGTTAGGAATTTTATCTATTCCTGGAGATTTCCAGTTGTGTGCTTTTTTCAGTGCACATTTAACATCTTCTTCTGTGATTCCCGCCCATGTCTGTTCTGGTTTATTTTTCATTCGTTCTAACTCTTGCGCAATCCAATCTGCCTCTTCGTTGTGTTCTTTTAGGGCAAGCCCATATTTTTCCCCAGAACTGTATAACTTCTTCCATTTTAGGGGGACTGTCACTTCAATTCTTTGTTTACCTATTTCCCTGTAAAATTTCTTTGCATCGGTTTGAAAGATCTTGTTCTGTCTATAGAATCTTGATCTTTTTCTCGTAGCGTCTTATTCTTTGAGCCTTCAGTTGTATTGTTTGCTTTATTTTTTTCTTTAGTTGATAGGACTTCATTTTCATTCCTGATATTGTATTTTCTTTCGACTCTTCTGCCTTTTCTAGTTCTTACATTTACTCCTCTTGCTAGTTCATCGAGTACTGATAATTCACTTCTAAGGTGTTCAATTTCTTTTTCTATTTTTCTTTTCCAAGGTGGATCTTCATGTCTGTGAGACTGCCTTTTTTTTACTTTGATGTTCAGTTTATTTGTTGCTGCTATTGCTGATGTTATTATTATCATTATTATTATTATTATTATCATTATTATTATTATTATCATTATTATTATTATCATTATTATTATTATCATTATTATTATTATTATTACTATTATTTCCTTTGATTTCTGCTGTATACACATTTCCTTCTGGGTCCCAAACAGAGACTCAAGATCAGAAATGACTTCATGACATTTTCCACTAAAAAAACAACAAAAAAAGCATTTCACAGAGAAGAACATGAACTGCCAGGTATTTTTGTCTATAACAGTTTGATGTCATTCAAGACCCCAAATATTTTAGGTATGCTCTAATTTTTTAATTTCACTTTCAAGAAAGAGCTAAACATTTGCTTTGTGTTTGTTGAATTTAAGGACAGTAATAGATTGGCAGCTAAGTCTCATCATTTTACAGCTGAAATGGCTAAATGAAACCGTAAGTTCTGTGTTAGCAGTTTCTTCTCTTGAACTTCTCGCTTGGGGAACTCTCTTCCAGATTCTTGCTTCCCAGTCAACTTTGATCATCTAAAATGTAAATGCAATTCCAGTTGTTATCTTCTGTCTTTTTAATTCCTGTTCTTTTATTGTCCTCTCTCCTTAATAGTTTTTTTTCTGATTCTTTGCGCCTTGCGTGAGGTCGAATTATTAACACATACATTTTTACCTGATAGCATTACCCTATCTGTCAGAAGGCAATGTTTTTGTTTGCAGTCTTCAATCATAATGCCTAATCTATTAGCTTTTCTTTGTCCGACAATATGAATGGTAAAGTATAGTCAACCCATTGTTCCCTGTAACAATTTCAGGAGGATGATTGTAACGTCTGGTGCTCCGCAGTCATTATATATACTAAATTATTATTATTATTATTATTATTATTATTATTATTATTATTATTACTTTATTTGATTTCTGTTGCACATTCCCTTCCGGGTCCCAACCAGGGACCTATGGTCAGAAATGGATTCAAGAAGTTTTCAACGAATCATTTTGTGAAAGATCACACAAATTTTACATAGATAAAACTCTTCGTAATGTGAATGCTATACCTGTGAATAGAATTATATATTTCTTTAAGGCATGGTCTATCAGGAATCCCATCAATGAATCTAACGGAAATTTTCCCAATTAATCCGAATGCTCCAACTACAACAGGAAATATTGATGTCCTCATGTGCCACATTCTTAATATTTCCACTTCAATATCCTTGTATTTTGATAGTTAATTTTGAAGATGTTCAAACATACATTACAATCTGCAGGAACTGCTATATCAATAAGAAAGGACATCCTGTTTTTCTGGTCTTTGATTACGATGTCTGGGTGATTAGCTTTAATTGTTCTGTGTGTATAAAATTGTTACAGATACTATGTCTGTAATCGTTTCTGGGTCATGTTTATATCAGTTTCTTGCAGTCTCCTTCCCGAAAAGTGGCATATTTTCCAGTGGCCCAGTCTATAATGCCGACATTTATATTCAGTTGGTGCTAACACTGTTCAAGCTAATACAAGATGCTCAATTGTTTCTGCATATTTATCACAGAATCTGCATTTGGGACCAAAACAATATTTTATTATTATTCTTATTGTTTTATTTCTTTTGGTTTCTGGTGTATACTCATTCCTTTCCGGCTCCCAACCAGAGACCTAAGTTCAAAAATGTCATCATGACATTGCCTACTGAACAGTTTTGAAAAAAAATCACACATATTTTACATAGATAAAGCCCTTCGTAATGTGTTGGTTGTACCTGTGAGTACAATTTTTTTGTATTTCTTTAAGGTATGGGCTTGCAGGGATTCCTTCAATGAGTCTATTGGAATCTTTTCCAATCAATCCGAGGGCTCCAACTACAACTGGAATTGTTAATGTCCCCATGCGCCACATTTTTGAAATTTCGATTTCAAGGTCTTGTATTTTGATAGTTTTTTTGAAAATCTTCAAAGATACATTGCAGTTCGCAGGGACTGCCATGTCAAAAAGGAGGCATATTTTGTCTCTGCGGTCTCTCATCACGATCTCAGCGCGACTAGATTTGATCGTTTGATTATTATTATTATTATTAGTAGTAGTAGTAGTAGTAGTAGTAGTAGTAGTAGTATCTAAAACAAGTAAGACACACAGTAGCAGTATTTAGTGATTTTTCTATTGGATTTAAATTTCTTCAATTTTCAAGAATTTTCCTCGTTATCCTTGATAAAAATTATGGTCTGGATAAACTCCATTCCTTATTCTATCCACACATCTAGTTTTTTTTTTTTTGTTTTTTTTTGCATGGTTCTATGTGCTTTGTGATTCCTGCAGAATGTTGTGACAGCAAGTTTACCTAAGTTACCAATATCTTCCTTCTCACTGTTTGCGATCCTACGACAGCTAAATACACATTCCCTCAATCTCGCCTTTTAGGTTTTAAGACATACTTCAGTGCACCAATTATGATAGGGAAGATCTACATAATTTCCATTCCTGTGTTCTTTTACATGTCCTCGATCTGACAGAACTTTCTTTCCCTTATTCTAAACAATAAGACAAAGCCTTCTTGCTTGGAGAGATTTGGGTGTCAAAATTTCAGAGTATGTTTCAAAGATAAAATACATTATACTAAACAAAACCACGTGTCTAAAATACTTTTTGAAAACATGTTTCATTAACTTTATGGGAGATTTCAAGACCATACTGAAAGCCATAGATATTACTGACATGACAGCAATGTATGCAGTTCTCAAGCAAGGTCTTGATATTCATCTATTTTTCTCCCGTTTCCATCGTTTTTACAGTGGTTTTAGAAATGCGAAAAGAAAGAGACGAAAAAATTATAAAGAATAAAAGAATGTGAATATGACACAACTATTAACAGAATGACATAGATAGATAGATAGATAGATAGATAGATAGATAGATAGATAGATATGAAATAAAAAGAAAGAAAGAAAGAAAGAGAGGGAGAAACAAATTAGAGGGGAAAGTTTTTAAATATTTTTGTTCTTCATGGGAAAGGATGGATTTAACTCTTTTTTTGTCATACAGAATTATCTTTCTTAGTAATAGATACCGTTTGTAATCGAGTCATTAATTTCCATTCAATTTTGTCCAAACAAGGAAATGTTTGTGTGCTTACAGAAAGCACATTTCGCTGAATGATCTTTGCTCCGAAATATATTTTCCACTTTTCATATCATTTCTTCGCTGAAAAATAAAGCAGTTAAATCTATATTATCTTATTTTTCGTTACTGATATTTATTAGGTAATTACTGTAGATGAGAGGCGTGACGAAAAATGAATCTTGACACACACGAACAATGAATTAACTAAATTTTAATTGACAGTAATGCCTGTAAAATTATAGACTTCGTTTATTACCATCAGTAACTACAATGGAATCGCTTCTTTTTCTTCTTCTTTCTCGTCTTTCTGTGGGTTATTCACTGCTTTTTTAATCTCTCTTGTCTTTCCTTAGTTTATTCGAGAAATAATGTCCGGTTTTAGCATTAATATTTTAATTATTTTCTAACATATTACTATAATATTTTCACAAAAATATATTGCTCATCCCCTATTATTAAAACGTCCACTTTGTTAATTTTCTATCTATCACTTTCAGAATTTCATTAAAACAATATATAAAGATCATCTTGAACATAAAAAGAAGAGATGCGTTTACTTTTTTGCATGAGTTCAATCATAATCCACCTCAAACTTCTACAGACATTAACAGAGCAGGGGTTGAAGGATCCACTTGTACGATCCTCGTTTCTTAAGGTAAGGATATGACTCTTGAAGGTCAAGGTAGTCGATCTGCCACTGACAATAATAAAAAATACGTCAATGTCAGAAAAATATCTCAAATAATGGGTGTCAGCATTTCAACCATATCGGAGCATCTCAAGAAAATTGGCAAGGTAAGAAGCTCGATAAGTGCGTTCCATGTGAACGCAGTGAAAATAAAAACGTTCGACATTTTGGAGTTTTTTCGATGTTGCATCTGCAAAATTCGAATGGCCCGTTTCTTGATCGAACACTGACTTGTAATAAGAAATGGATCCTTTATGACAATCATTAGCAATTGGCTCAATGGCTTGATCATGACGAAGGACCTAAATATTTTCCCAAAGTTAAATTGAACCAACTGCCTAAGTTTAGTTCCAGATCACGTTTACTTACTGAATGGAATGAACATTTAATAAGGCAAAATGCGACCAGCCCTGTTTAATCTGTGAGGTCCAAGTTTGTTTCATGGTAATGTTGCCAGGAAGATACTGCAAAAATACTAAGTCTTACGATAAAAGACTTTACTATATCCAACATATCCACTGATCTATCACTTATTGCCTACCATTTTTAGAACATGACAATTTTAAGCCAAAAGACATTCCGTTGCAAAGATACAGAAACTGTATTCAAAATATTTTTTATCGTCCAAACCATTATCGTTTTATCGGAAAGGCACAACTAACCTCGAACCTTGATGACAGAAATGTATATATGTTCAGGTTTCCTATTTTAACAGAATTAAATAGTTTAAATAAATTAATCCAGGAATAAATATTGATTCTAAACTCAGACATTATCTTCATAACAACCTATGTCCTGTGAGTGCCATATTTTTAAACCGTCTTTCCTCCCTATGTGGCCTAGAAATTACAACTGTCTCTTCTAAATATAAGTGACTTTTTCTGCTCTAAAACTGATCACGTGTTCACTTCATTATCAGCATCCTTCTATAAAACCAATTTTCATAGTTTCTTCTTCATCTGTAAGTAGATTTTGCATCATTCACTGCCATACACTAAGACCGATATTACATAATATTTCAGTACTCTTTTTTTGTTTCTAATGAAATTTTGCTGTTTCTTACCATACACCTGAATTAAAACTATTCCGGTGCAGTTACGTGGTCTCTTGACGCTCACAAACACACACACACAAACACACATTATAAAATAAAGAACAAATAGGAAATTTATATCAATCTAACATGTCTCCCTTTTATTAATGCTTCGTCGGAGATTGAGAGAAAACAAACAAAACTCATTGGTCAGATACGTGTCACGTTCATATAACCATAAATAATTCTATATGTACGTAAGTTTGTGAAGATTCTATGTCTATGTGGGCATTGGATGGTAATGTATGTTCGTAATTGTGTATGTTTTCAACTTTATACGGTCAAGCCAACGCAGCAGGGTGCACATCATTCTAATTTCTGGGTGATCTTTTTAAGCATGCATTCTTTTTATTAGATAAGTTAGATTCTTTAATAATGGATTCAAAAAATGGATTTGATCTTTAACACACACAAAAATATATATATATATATATATATATATATATATATATATATATATATATATATATATATATATATATATATATATATGTATAAAAGATTAACCGTAGGTTCTATGCTAATAGTTTCTTTCATCGTACTTCTCGCTTCCGGCTGCATGTTTCCCACTCAAGTCTGATATCCAAAAATTTAAATGTAATATCAATCTTTATCTTCTGCCTTCTTGATTTTTATTATTTGATTCTTCTCCTTCATGAATAGTAGTTTTTTTCATATTGTCTAATACTCAGTAACCACTTGCGTCCTAGTGACCTTATTGCTTTAGTTTTGGTGAAAAAAATTATATATTTAGTGTGTGATGGATAAATTGCCACCATTTTATATTTTGAATTTCGCGCATGCGTGTTGTTCTTGATTTTGTGAGACTGCATAATATAGTAGCGTCAGTTGGGCACCGTATCTGAGAAAAAGGCTACCATGACGTCATTCACTCCACCAGAAATTCGGAAATGACATCCTGTACTACTTGTCCTTCGCGCCGGAAGCTAAAGTATGAACAAGAGAGTTTGGATGTCAATCTGAGGACAATGCAAAGGATTCGGAAAGAGTTCAATGAGTCTAATGATGATTACAGAGGTACGGCAGCTCGGAAAACTCACTCTGATCGTTCTAAAACAAAGAACACGGAGACCTACATCAAGGGCTTGAGGAAGTAGTGAATAGTTTCGTGTTTTTCGTTGTCTATGGTTTATCAACACTTTACAGGTTATTTAAATAAAATATTTTTAGAATGCAAGAGTTAATAATGGTTTAGCGATACTAACCATAGCTGGGGGACAAGTAGATTGATACCTTTACCAAGTGTATGTGCGCGTAAATAAATATAAAGAAACCCAACGGGAATTGGAACTCGGCTCTCCGATTAACAATTCCGAGCCATTATCCATTACACCAACCGCACATCAAAGCTTACAGCAATTGGCATTCCCAAATGGTCACCTTTCTAGGTACTGACCAAGCTCGACGTTGCTTAACTTCGGAAATCGTACGGTATTGTCATGAATAGTGTTTAAACAATCAGCAAAGTTATTTAACCGAAATTATTTAACGTAAGTTATTTAACCGCTGTTTGAAGGAGAAATCCTTCCCAAGTCTGTGAAAAATGTCAAGAGTATGCCCGGTTTTCCAGAACGCAGGCGAGTGCTTACCCCACTCTCAGTATAGACACATCAGTCCTCTTAGTGACATTAGTAATTATTTGAATGTTGTTGAGCACATAGATAAGAACAGCATCTTATCGACAAGCATTACTGGTTTCGATCGTTCCGATCCGCTGCTGACATCCTAACTACCGTTACTCACAGAATCTGTGAGGCACTTGACAGCAAATACACCACAATGATCATACGATAGCTGTGGCAACACTGGAAGAATCTTCTCAGTAATAAAGTCCTTTATAGCGGGTAGGTCACTGAAAGTAGTTGATAACGGCCAGTCGTCGAGGGCACTAGCAATCAATGCAGCCCAGAGATTACATCTCGGACCAACCCTTCTTTTATTTTATATAAATGATCTGCGGAAGATCATTTGTGCATATCAATGCCGATTATACAATGATATATGGGTGCACCACCAGAACTCGTGATAACCAGAGATTGGTAGCTGAACTTTAATCTAGCTCTAACATCTGTGTGGGAAAAACTGGTCAGTTGTATTGAATGCTTCGAAAACTAAACACGTTCCATTACATTATCGGCAACCAGATCCCAAATTACCACCAGTCGCAATGAATGAATGACTCCTCGTGGAGATCCCGTGCTTTGAGCAACTATTGGATTTTAAACTCACCCCAGACCTCAAAGAGAATTTGTACATACAATACATCGCTAAAGATGCAGGAAAAATGTTCGGTTCCCTGTACGGCGCTAGTAAATACCTGACTCAAGGTGCCATTCACTTACTTTTTACAAGAACCAGATCAGGCCTAAAATGGATTACTGGTGTCATATTTGGGCAGGAGCTGCCAATCCTCACTTTACAGTTTCAAAGCGTCTCCACATCCTTGTGGGTGTCATATTATTATCTTCTGGCCTGTAATCCCTCTCTTATAGATGCGATGTAGCAAACTTCTTACTTCTCTGTCACTATTTCCATGGAAAGTGCTTGGAACTTCATTCCTTGGTTCCATCGGTTCTAATCTTAATGTCTAAGATCCATTATGCCACTTACATTGCCGCGAACCACTCTCATTGCCCTCCGTATTCCATTGGTGAGATGTAAGTTCCACTCAAGCAGCTTCGTTCTGCGAACCGTTACTCTGTGGAAACATTTCTCAACAGGATGTTTCTCCAATCACTACAACCTTAACCAGTTCAACTACATGTTTAACCATTACTTTCTCCACCTATCTGCATAAACTTAATTTCTAACACTCTACCTCGAGTGACTTCTGGGTTTTGTACTAGATTAAACTCACTGTAAAAAATATAAGAAGCTCTCTGAAAAAAAACACAAGATAGTCGCAAAAGATACAATTTAAAACTAAAAAAATATGCAGACACAGCCATCTCTCTTCGCATATGGAACCTCAAAAACACAACGCGAAACAAAACAAATGCAAAATAAGAACATACACCAATATACAACATTAGCTCCAAAGAGTTATCCATGTGAATATAGCGACAATCAACTTTCCA